CTGGTCCTTTGCTGGTTTAAACTGGTCCTTTGCTGGTTTATGCTGGTCACCAGCAAAAGGACCAGCATAAACCAGCATGCCAGCGTCAAAACATACCTAACCAGCATATGCTGTTTCTTTCAACATAGATGTCATTTCTCGAATCTTCTTAAGGCAATGTCTAACCTTTCCCCTTATGAGGTTTATCGCTGAGATATCAATCAACTAAACAGCATGAAATGCCAAACAGGTGAAAAGTTAAACAGGTGTAATATTAACCCTGTCAAAATGCCCTTTTCTTAGAGAGTTCAAGGCCAGAAGGAGTCGAAGCCCATATGAACCTACAGTCATGTTGAGAGTTTAGTGTTCACACAGAATGAGCAATTCTGCAATTCCCATTTAAAGCAAGATAAAACACACCGATGTTTCCTCATTGAATCTCGCTGTCGGTAACAGGAACATGAGTTACAGCCCAAAATCAATCACTAGAAACTCCCTTCTCATAAATGACAATAAAATGACTCGGCTTTCTCATGAAAGATGGAAAAGCCATTTATTAATCGTGAGTCATTTATCAACACAACAGAAAAGAAAAACAGCACAGGTTATTGTCCATGCATTTCCTTATTTGATCTGGCTTTATTTTTCTGTGAACAAGGAAACACTCATCTTGAGCAGTTCTGGTAGATCGGCAGGATTTCATTTCCTGATTGATTCATGCATATTCATATTTTGAAGGAGTAATGCTGACACACATGCACTGGAGATGGAGACTAGCTGTGTATACTTTGGATGAGATTATGTATTGTGCACACTATGCACTCACAGCGGCCTACATTCAGATTTGGTAAAAAGGTCACTCCTGTCACGTAGCGGTTGTGTTATTAAAACCACAAGGAATGAGTCAGGAACACAAATATGCTTAAACAATGATGGTTATTATGCTAACCATGTCGAATTAATATAAAGTACGACAGTCAGTAGAATAAATAGCTGTATTATAAAGTCTTACGTCACACTGATTTGAGAGCTATCACTGATAAAGAAACAAGCCACAGCTCAGCACATAAGCACACAGACAGCGCAGATGATGTGTTTCTTCATGATGACTGAGCAGGTAAAGCACAAGAGACCTGGTGTCTGTACAGAGGTTAGCAGAACTGGCTAGCAGAGGTCAGAGGTCGACGTACAGTATAATGTATAACATAGTATTAACCCTATAAGTGTCACCGCTTGGCACTCTTTTTTCCTTGTCTTTTTTTCCCCTTAACATATTTTAGCAATCATCGTAAATGATAATTTGAAAGCTTAAATGGAAATGTGACTTTGATATCTTTTAGCGGTCTCCTCCCCCTTAGTGGGCGGTGTCAAGTGTGATATTACAAAATGCATTACGATTTTGTAATCGAGTGTCATATTATTAAATGTTTAGTTCTTTTAGAATTACAGTTTTTATAATCTTAATAACATACATACCTGACAGAGAAATTTAGACATTTGTGACAGAAAAAACTAAATGCATAAAAAGATTAAATGGAGTTTGAATGGCACCTGGTGGCTGTTTGTGGTATAACACCCTCAATAAACTCTCACGGCAACCTCCATTTTTTATATATCAACTTCAAATTTGGAACATAACTCATGTAGGCATAAAGCTTTAATTTTATACCAATTTTAGATTCAAAAATATTTAGTAAGATATTTATTATATATAAAATAATAAAAAAATTGGTTTACAGTCAATTTACATGTCTATAACTTTTTGGTACGCTCATATTTTGAAAGGATTCTTCTTAAGAAAGAGTCCAACCTTTATGCCTGTATTCTAAAGTGTTCATGGTGTTTGTGTGTGTGTGTGTCTCTGTGTGTGTGTCTCTGTGTGTCTCTGTGTGTGTGTCTCCGTATGTTTGTGTCTGTGTGTGTCTCTGTGTGTGTGTCTCTGTGTGTGTGTCTCTGTGTGTTTGTGTCTGTCTGTCTGTGTGTGTGTCTGTCTGTGTCTGTCTGTCTGTGTGTGTGTCTGTGTGTGTGTCTGTCTGTGTGTGTGGTCTGTGTCTGCGTCTGCGTGTGTGTGTGTGCGTGTGTGTGCGTGTGTCTGTCTGTGTGTCTGTCTGTGTCTGTGTGTGTGTCTGCGTGTCTGTGTGTGTCTGTGTGTGTCT